CAAATAAACAAAAAACCCTTTTCTTGTTGCCTTTATTTTTGTGCATCAAAGGGGTGGGGAGGGGGTGGGTGAAAGAGGGGGCGGTGGTTGTTGTTGTCATGGTAGGCACCGGGCTTTTCCACTGCAGTATTGTATTCAATATTCCAATCACCTTGCAAGTCAAGAAGGCTCGTGGAGCTTGCGGTAGTGTCAGAGTGAAAAACGAGCCATGGCGTCACGCTTGGCCAGCCGCTGGCTGTCGGTTGCAGATTGAGTGCCACGCTGCGGCGTGTTTGGTTTCATATCAACCATTTCGGTTGCAGCATTTGGAAAGGCACGCTTCTCCCTTTCTTTCCTTCTCCAGCAGAAAAATCCAATGACAAAAGATTGGGGACAGGGGGGAGACGGATGAGTGTCACCCCCTTGTTCCAGCACCTTGGCTTCTGCCTGCGAGTTGTCAGTCATTTGCGCCGAAGGAGGAAGATGAGGTCTGAGACTGCATGGTGGGTTTTGCTTCCTTCTCCCCTCTCCCCCCTCCCCCACCCCCACCAACCAACAGCACTTGACCCCACCCATCCCAGTCTTTAATATCGATTACTATTTTTATTCTTCTCCTTTGCATTTTTATTTATTGAGTTCCGAGGTGATGGCGACCGATGGGGTTGCGGGGAAGGGAAGATCATTCTGGAAGCAGCACAGCCACGAGGGAGCCACAGACTCTCCTGAGTGCTGTTAAACAAAGCACACCGTGTATTTTTACAGATAGCGCAAGCCAGGCAACCATGATATTTGCCTGCCGGAACTGTTCCTTATGGTCACGGTGCAACCTATTTCCTCACCTCTGCACAAAATCAATCAAAGAAGCAAAGACACTTTCACGATCTGTAGGTGTTTGTGAATTCCGAGGTGGGGACTGGTGAAATATGAGAGTGTGGGAGCAATGCCTTGAGGGAGGACCAATGCTGGAAAATGATGTACAAGTACTTCACACTTTATATATTTCATGTGGAATTCTCAATAGCTCCTGTGACTGGGCTGCTCCCCAATTCTGCACCCCCAGCTTGTAATACATTTCTCCAAAGTGTTGTCTAAACACTGGTGGTTGGTTGACACACACGTATATATCACTTGATTTTTCAGTGCTTTATTATCACATGCTTAATTAATGGCTGGCTTGTACTAAATAGGATTTTTATTTTTTATTTTGTATTTTGTATTGTGCAGATATATTTTAATGATACATAGCTACTAATGTCTTCTTCATTAGACGAGCCAAATTGGATCAGGACAGAGCAATGGCCCTTCCAGTTCAGCGGCCTCTTTCCCACAATAACCACCCAAATATTCCTGGAAAGTCCACAGGAAAGGTACGACATCTCTTTTTGCCCCTACCCCACACTACCCAGGCACTGGGATCCAGAGGTCCACTGTGATTCCACTAGCCTACCATGGAAAAAGATCCATGAACAGACCTATTCTCTATGAGTTTGTTGGACACACACACACACACACACACACACACTCCCAAGCTATTTGCCATCTCTACCTCTTGGTGCAGATTTTGTATGCTGCTTTTTATGCATTGTGTGGAGAAGTATTTTGATTCACTTGTCCTCAGTTTATGCTGATCAATTTTACCTCAGAAGCACAGCTTCTGTAGAAGTCAGGAGCTCCTTTACAGAAGTCTGGCTGACTCGTCCTCGGCAAAACTTGCTCTTTTCAGTGGTGCAGCCAGGTAATTTTAGCACTGGGCTTAGGAAGCAATATTAAATACGGGAAGCCAATGTCATTTATGTAGGCTCAAGAAAAAAATGGCAGATGTAAACCTCATTCAGGAGAAAGGCTACTGCCAGCAGAGCTGGCCCAAGCCCGGCAGAGGGAAAACTTACCTTTAAAAGAGAGTTTGACCTACATCACCCTTTTTGCCTTGTAAGTTCTGCTAGGTTGCCAGGTCATGTGACTGGACTGGACAGAATCAGGATCCAGTGCTCTCTCTAGCAAGTTTACAGGAAACCGTTAGCCTGAGTCCCTTCATATGCCTATGCAGTCAAACCATGAATTGTTGGTTTGACTGCATTAAACATCTCACACAAAAAAGTTTTCCTACTGAATTGGAGCAAACAGCAAACAGGTTTTTCTGCAGATTGCTATTTGCTCTAAAACTGGTTTGCTGGTAAAACATGGGTTTTCTGGGGGAAAGCACAGAGACCAAAAAACAAACAAACAAGAATTTGGACATGGAGCTTTAAGGTGTAGACCTATGTCTGGAAAGCACAGCAAAAAATGAAGCCTAGATGTGCCCAAAGAGGCTCTTACCAATTGGCTTAGTGAGAAGGAAAATATTTGAGTTTTTAAAAAGCTCTTGGGTGCATGCCATGTGCAGATGCTGACTTGTTAATTTTTAATTTGTCAGTTAGCCCTAGAATTTCTTTCCTTTTCACCTCTATTTTATTTAGCTCAACAGATGCCTTTCCTGAAAAAAAGTGGTGCAGGCATGGGCATTTGCCCAACATCTTACACACTGAAGACTCATTACACTTCTCGGCCATCTTCCCATCCTCCTGTAGCAGTCCTTCCACACTGCTGCCACCCAACATTATCTCAGATGGAAGATACTTTAAATCACTCCACAATTCCCAACTCATTTACCAATACTCCTACAATGGAACTTTGTATTTCCTAGGGATTCACCCGTCTGAACCACCCAAGCCCGGAAACCATTTTGTCATGTGTTGCCTCCAACACCCAGCATGGTAGCTTAGCAACCGAGTTCCAAGTCTTCTGAAAGTGGTAGTGAAAATCCACCACTCGGGAAACTTGAATGCATGAAGTGACAAACCAGTCCTCAAAGCTCACTCCATTTCCAGGTATAGATACCATAATGACTGAAGCTTGACAAAGACTGTGTTTGTGTTTCCCTTTTAAGGGACAATTAAGATTGAAGCTGGGAGAATCATTAACCCTCTTTTCATTTCTTCTATTGAATGATGTGGGTATGAGCTTGCTGTACTCATGTAGGCTTCCCATGCAATTTAGTACCCTGATCTTCCAGGGTTCCAAATTACAGAAGGAGCAAAAATGACAGAAGGAACATAGTGTAGAGGTTCCAACCCAAATACATAGAAGGCAATGAAGCTAGTGATGGGGACCTAAAGGAGACAGTGAGGTCAATAGGTCCATCTCCCTCACTGCATGAGCCTTTGGTGACTGAGGAGGACTACATTTACTTCTGAATCCATGATGCAAGTTTTGCCCCTGTGCTTCAGAGGCTACATTTTTATTTGGAATTGGGTGTGGGGAGAATTACTTTCTCATCTGTGATTCCTGTTGTAATGTAGATTCTGAATTTGCTCAGTATTGGTTGTGCAACTGATGCAGTGACCTTCACATGGTGTCAGAAAAAAAATACTACTGGAGAAATACCATTTTGCAGTTCCATTTTTCAATCTTGAGCTGTAGATACTATATATACAGGTGCCGAAGGCAATTTTGGTTGTGCAAAGATGCATTCAAGATAATCAGTTCTTCACTTTAACTAAAGGCTTCTATGTTTTCATGGAAGTGTGATTCACTCACATTCACCCTGCATCATGGGTTTTATAGTTTGAAGACTGTATTAACATCCTTACAGTTTTGTGATTTTCCTCATGAAACTATAGATGGATTTGAATGAAACATTTAAATGTGATTTTTTAAAAATAAAGGTTTTGTTCCTCAATATGCAACTCAGGGTGGAAATGAAGATGATCTGGAAGAAAAGAAAATATGTTTAGAATACAAATTGTTTAAATAGTGATTTAAACAAGTTTAAGAATGTATGAACTGAAAAAAAGCCTTCTGAAATATCAAAAGAATGAAGGAAACTTTAAAATATATAATACTCACCTATGCAGATCATATCTTTTGAAGCCATGGACACTCCCATTTTCATATCAGAATTGGGACTTGGCAGAATCTAAATATCCAATCTAAGCTCCTCACCTCCCCCTTTTAAGAAGCTAATACAAAGCTTTCATAAGCACTTAATTTACTGTAGTGCCTGCCCACCCAGATGGCATGACGGAGTGAATACAATTTCAGGGTCCCTGATACATAGCATAACTTTGCAGAAAATGTTTGCTAACAGCTGCATAACTGTCTTCAGGGCCTTGTTTGATTAAACCACTAACAGATTGCAGTACTGAGATGTGGTGCCACACAAACAAATTTGAGCAATCATTAAAATAAAATCTACCACCAAGGTTAGCATCTCCTCATGCTTGTTACTCCACGAACAGTAGCTCCATCATAAAACAAGCAATCCTAGGCCAGTGAAGGCAAAAAAAACCTCCATGTTGATCAAAGGGCTAGGGGTTTCAGACACAGCAAAATGGGCAGCTATGCATTTAGGAAAGGTATCCCTAACTTATGTTGATGACGTCTGAAAGTATATAAGAAAGGACTGCAAATGGTACTATGTAACAGCACCATCTGGTGATGTGTTCTGTGAAAATAGCAATGCAGAAAGAACCTCACCAAAAAAGGGTATAGTTCACACACAAACAATTCTTCCATTTCTTTGTTGCTATTATGTTACATGAAGTAGCAGACCATCCTTATTCTTCATTCCATTTCCTACTTATGCTTATATAAGGCAGACCTGGACAAATAGTGAATCACCAAGCTGAAAGCAGCCACCAGGACCATACATAATGGCAAACTAGGATCTTGGTAAATCTCCTGGCTTTGCTCCTTGTCTGGGTATGTGTGTGTGAGAGAGATAGACAGAGAGAGAGAGAGAGAGAGAGAGAGAGAGAGAGAGAGAGAGATTGTTTTCTCCTTCTTCTTCTTCTTCTTCTTCTTCTTCTTCTTCTTCTTCATCACTCATAGCCGAGTAAGATTGTCTTCCATAAACACGGTTTAACAGTGAGTCCGTATGTGACTGTGGAGGCCCCCAACAGTGGGAACATAGGTTTCGGGGCAGGAGTTGATCATGGTGAGGGTTTGCCAAATGTGCCTTCCTCTTAAGAGAGAATGTAAAAGCTGTAGCTCAGTGGTATAGAGTCTGCTTTGCATGCAGAAGGTCCCAGATTCAGTCCCTGGTATCTCCAGCAGGGCTGGGAAAGACCCAGCAATGATATTTGTGATGAGAGAGAGCCATCCTTCCAACACCAGCACATCACATCTGCTTACATGGACGGGTTTGCGGTAAAGTTGTGGCTACGTGGGTGCAGTAGCAGAACCACCACCACCAATCCAGCACTCCCACTAGTGCAACCATGTGGTCCCAACTTTGCTCAGTTTCATCCAGCTAAGCAGAAGTGTCTCAAGGTCTGGACAGCATCTCCATAGCTCTGCCCCACCCCAGGTACCTTTCCTAGAGAAATCCTTGACTGGATGCTTGAAGGACCTCCAGTGAGTGTAGACAATACTGAGCTATATGAACTAGTAGCCTGACCTGGTATATATGGCAGTTTCCTATCATAAAAATAAAAATAAAAAACTGTCAGGCCTATGGCTGCCTCCAAAGGACACACATTCACCAGGGGGTTCAAGTCCTATAAAAGGTTCATTACTCCACTGATGATCTAATTTTTATGAGGGATCCAAAAAGTCCAGGGTAGTCTATGTTTGGGCATCCTGCCTCTTCCGCATTATTGGGGCCTCCTCCTGAGTGTGCTTGACACCCCTCCCAATTCTGAAGCAGAACATCACGCGTTGCCTTTGATATGGTGGCCTGCACATTTCCGTTCCTTTATGTAAGGTCTGTGGGAAAGGACCAGGCAAGGATGCTCTTGAGCAAAGCCACCCAACCAGAAATTATAAAGCCATAACCAACCATTTGTCCATTCAGCGTTGAACAAGGACCTAATCCCACTCTCTCTCCACCTCACCTCCACATCCTCTGCTGAGCCAAAGAAGGAAATTTTGCTGCCCTTTGTTTTCTATAGTCTCCCCCCCCCTTGCAACAAATGAGTGTAGTGAACCAAAGACACAAACTCAAATTAGTAACATGCCAAGAGCATGCCCGTGGGCTGGGATGAGCGCAGTAGACGGAAGCGAGAAGGAATATCATTCAACAGACGATGGCGCTTCAGTCAAAAGCTTAATTCCACATGCTTAAGGAGTGCTTCTGAGGTGCCTGTGTGATACCCTCTGCACCAATGATGAGGCCTCCAAGCTGGATCTGTGTCTGCAACATCTTCCTCTATACAGCTGTGTAGGAGAGGAATGTAGGAATACTAAACAGACCTTCAAGAAGAAAGTTAATAATAATTGGAGGAGGCCACTGAGCCTACTGGATCCAATCTCACTGAGGCACTGGCATAGCGTGACCAGGGGGCAGCGGCCCTAGGCACATTATTCTGAGGGTGTGAGAGGGTGCAACCAGGCGTCCCCATGACAGGTGCCCTGCAGGGAGGCGTGCTGTGCCAGTGGTAGGACTCTGGGGCTGGGACCACACTTCGTTCTCCTAGAGAGAGAGGAGAGTGCAACTCTCAGGTCAAATTTAATTTTTATCCCACTCTTTCTCTGAAGAGCTCAGGATAGACTACACATTCTCTGCCTAACCTGCCTCATAGGACTGTATAACAGCTCTGTGAAGCAGGCTTGTAAATGGCCCAGCTTTTCCCAGTGACCTTTGTGACTGAGCAGAGATCTGAAGCCTGATCTCCCTGGTTCTAACCCAACATCCTAACCACTGCCTCATATTTTATGCTTTCACACACTGTGGATTGCATTGCATGAGCAGAGGAGACGTCCACTCATAGAATCATAGAGTTGGAAGGGACCCCAAGGATCATATATGCAACCCCCTGCAATGTGGGAATCTCAGCAAAAGCAAACATGGCACATGGCCATCCAACCTCTGCTTAGAAACCTCCAAGGAAGGAGAGTCCAGTAGGACTTCCCATTCCTTCCCTCCTGCCTACAGCCCCCCTGCACACCCTCAAAATCTCCTCTGGATGGGTTGGGGAACCTATACACTGTAAGATTTGGGAGTACATGCAGGACTGCAGGATGCAAGGGAAGGAATCCTCATGATTCCTGCTGTGTAAGTGTAGATATGTTTGCATAACACTGGATGCAACCCTAAGAATATTATCTGACATTCCACGACCTACTCACTCAGTTAAGAGAGATGCTTTTGGACAGTGTCTAAATCTGAAATTGGAACCCAGCTTTGAACGTAGGGTTGCTATGGGCCTTTGTACATACCACACACAACATAAGGAAGCTACCCTGAATCACTCCATGCAGGGGCTGTACAAAGCAAACTGCATTTCATGCTGTAGTACAACTCCTTGTGGGTTCCTTAGTGCCTATGTCAGGGGTCAGCAAACTTTTTCAGCAGGGGGCCAGTCCACTGTCCCTCAGATCTTGTGGCGGGCCGGATTATATTTTGGAAAAAAAATATGAACAAATTCCTATGCCCCACAAATAACCCAGAGATGCATTTTAAATAAAAGCACACATTCTACTCATGTAAAAACACGCTGATTCCTGGACTGTCCATGGGCCAGACTGAGAAGGTGATTGGGCCAGATCTGGCCCCCGGGCCTTAGTTTGCCTACCCATAGTCTATGTAATATCACTTGCTATACAACAAACAAGGTATTCACTTGTTAACCACCTTGATTGTTCCTTAATGAATTTTTATTCGTATGCCTACAGTTGGGCTGTAACTGCACAGCACAGCTTTCCTCTTGACAGAACAGATGGAGGCAGGACAGTCCTGGGGCCCAGTGTGCTTGCCTCCAGCTGGAATTGTATACAATGTGACCACATGGTTGTCTACAGCTACTTGGCATCACCTTCTGTAAAGCTCTTGCCTCTGCCATTGCCATTGCAGCCCGCCTCAATGGCACAAGTTGGGCTCTGGGCCAGGAAGGGGATTTAGGAAGCCCTTTATAAATAAATACCCTTCCAGGGAAAACAAGCATCCTCTGTTGACTACAGCAGGGAGATTCAGATTCTGTCAGATTCCTGGGGACTGTTGTTTCATTCACAGAAATCTAGAGTTCTGTGAGGAACACAATGACAATTGGAGAGAAGGGTCTCCTGACTTTGTTTTATCATAACCCCTGACTTTTCACTGTTCTGGCTGAGACTGATGAGAGTTGTAGTCCAACAATTTCTGGAGGTCCATGGGTTCAAAGACAATGAATAAAACAATGAAGATGGAGACTCTCCTTCCCAATAATTCAAAATCTGAACAAAGTAATAGAATCTTGCAGAAAGAGTCAAGGTCATGTATTCAGAGCTTGCTGTGAGGCAGGGATGTCTATCAGCCTGTCTCCCCTTTCCTTACTTCAGGCTGGTGCCAAGCATATTGCTCTCCTTTCATTTGGACCACACCAGTGGGCAACACATTGTACACATTGCCCAGGCTTTTGCCCTGAGGAGGTCACTTTGGTGCGGCAGATGCAGTGGTTTGACTTCACTCTCAAAGGTGCACTCCATTGTCTCTTGAAACAGATGGGTGCCAGCAACAGCAGTATCTCAAACTTTAGTTTGTCCTGATCTAGTTTGTGTGGTACATGCAAAGGCCACTGCTAGTCATCTTCAGTGACATCTATCTCAAGGATATGACTGAATAGATTCCACCTTTCAAATCTTATTACAGAGGAAGATTTTAGGCCTCAAATGAATGAATAGATTGGGAGCACAATGGAATAAAGGCTGTATTTTAAAGAAATACGTTTGGGATTCTTCTGCACGTAGTCAATCATTGCAACCAGCCAACAGTGAACGGGAGTGCCAAGAATGAACAGTCTGTATAGCCAAATATTACAGAAAAATGCACCAAGTCATGCAGTAGACAGGATGCATTTAAAAACAATAATATGACATACATATACAATTCAAGCAAATGTATGGAACCGCTAACATATTGAAGTGTATCAACAATGGCTTGGACAATTAATTCCTATGTCTCAAGCACATGTTCAACAAACTAGGCTTTTGTGTTACTGTTTTGTTGTCAGGGCTTATGTCAAATGCTGCTCTAATTATTCTCATCAGGTCTTGGGGGCTTCAATTGGCTCTCATTTCATCAGTTTTTGTTTAAGAAAGGTATTTGCATACTCATTTGTAGCCATTTGCATCTGGACATTCAGCAAGTCCATCATGATATTTTGATGGTTTCCTGGAGGCTGGCCACCCTGCTCCTGCATTTTCCTTTCTGCAGTCTGTCCAGCTACCATGCCAAATCCGTTGCTTGTTCTTTGAATGTAAGCTTCCTCTCCTCCCATCTCCTTTATGATCTTTTGTCTCTTTCTAATATGCGAGTTCCCCCACCCCCACCCCCCACATCCAGGCTGTTTATGAGTCCATCAGTGCTGTCAAGTTGCTTCAACAGCAAAACCCAGTGTGCCAAGAAAGCTTATACCTGATGTAGTTTCCTGACCAATTGCCAAGTCTCACATTCTCGGATCAAGTGTTAATTGGTGCAGGAGATTCAACACAGAAGGTGAAGGAGTATTAAGCATTTATTTATGTGAGAGAATTTTTTGTGGGGTGTTAACCCACATTTGGGGAAAAAATTATTAATGTCTCACAACCATTTAAAAACTATAATGCTGACAATTACAAAAAAAGCCCAGCAACTCACAATAACAAGAATAAAGAGCAAGATGGCCAATCAGATGCAGATTCGGATAGATTAAAATAACCAGGGTGCTTGAAGACTATGTGGTTGGCTAAGGGAAAGCTGAGGGGAAACCCCAGGGCCTATGGTGGGAAAACTGGTGCCTTGTATGTCTTGGTCTTCTTGCCCTCATAAGATGAAACCACCACCCACTAGTGGTGCACTGGCCTCTCCACTCATGCTGGGACCTAACTGCAGAATTAATTGAGTCTTTCAAAATCACCTTTGTCCTTTGAGCAGGGAAGAATGGGTCCATGCTGTGTTCTGTGCAAATGTTGCCACTGGAGTGTTGCCACTACCTCATTTCATCTCTAACTCTGCTCTCCTTTATGGCAGAGATGGGTAATTTCGGGCTTGGAAGCCAAACCTTCCCCAGGCTTGGAGGCAACACCCCTTCACCAGACACCCTCTCTTTCCCCAGGACTTGCCTTTCATTGACCTTGAGTCACATCCTCCCTTAATGCTGGAATGTGCCCTTGAACTCTGGTAGTGCTGCTTGCCTGCCTGGATGGTGGATAGAATGACAACGAGGAGAGGGAAATGAGCATGTGCGGAAACTAAACCACTGACCAATGGTTAGAAATACACCCCATTGCTCCACCCACTTTTGCCTCCGGCCCTCCCCTCTCCCCACAGGCACATGGCCCTCTAGGAAGCTTTTCAGAAGGGCAATCGGCTAGTGGAAATGCATCCTTTCCCTACCTCCTGCTGAATGGGGGACATCTCTGTGGGCAGGCACTGTGCTCTCAGAAGGGAAAAATTGTGTGCTAAGAGTTTTACAAAATGCTGGATTGTCATGATTAAACAAAACAAAACCCAATGCAGTAAAATCATGTAATGAGAAGCAACAAATGGGACTTTGCCTATTGGTAAAGGTAAAGGTACCCCTGCCCGTACGGGGTACGTGACCGACTCTGGGGTTGCGCGCCCATCTCGCTTAAGAGGCCGGGGGCCAGCGCTGTCCAAAGACACTTCCGGGTCACGTGGCCAGCGTGACGAAGCGGCATCTGGCGAGCCAGCACCAGCGCAGCACACAGAAACGCCATTTACCTTCCCGCTATAAAGCGGTACCTATTTATCTACTTGCACTTAAGGGTGCTTTCAAACTGCTAGGTGGGCAGGAGCTGGGACCGAACGACGGGAGCTCACCCCACCGCGGGGATTCAAACCGCCCACCATGCGATTGGCAAGTCCTAGGCGCTGAGGTTATACCCACAGCGCCACCTGCGTCCCGAGGCCACCCACATCCCGAGGATGGGACGTTAATACCATTGTTAAAACTAGAGTGGCGCTGAACATTTTGAAGATATATTTTTCACCCATTCATCAGGGAAAACAAAACCCAAAAAATCATGGTGGAAGTGGCGGGTGGGAGTGAAGGAGGAGGTTACTACTTATTTAATGGTATGAGTTATCCAATGGTTTCCCACCCCACCCCCCTTTTTTTTAACCTGAAAGGCTCTCTCTGGAATTGGAAAGCAGACACATTCCAGTAAAGGGGAAAGTTTCTCTGAAGAACCCAGGGACTCTTAGTAATGTGAATGATTTCCTATTTCTCTCTCCCCAAAGGAACTACAGAGCAATCAGTGAAGGCTGGACCCTTAGGCCCCACCAACTGCAGTCAGGCCCCACCTGCCTGTCTCCTTCCTTATATCCAGTTCAGAGAGTGACACTGCCCATCAGTATGCTCTTCCTGAGTCTCACTGTTGCCTCTTGTAGAACACAGGAGGAGGATGGAGACAAAGGCAGGGTGTTTCTAATGTGTGTTTTTCTTGGTTTTAATGTGTCTGTGTGGGTTGTGTTTGTTTGTTTGTTTGGAAATTGCTTTGAGTTGCCTTGGGCAAGAAATAATGACTAATAAATTTAGTAGAAAAATAAAAAATAAATACAAATAGAATTAGTTGGCTCTTCCTCTGCTCTCCCACCAGTCCCAGTGGGCACCAGACATAACCGAGAGCAATCCAACTTTTATCCGCCTCCCCCCCCCCCATTCTGTCACAATGGAGGGAGATGAGGCAGAAGTGTTACCCCACCAAGTTCTGCTGGACTTCACCGGTGGGTCCACTGGTGTGGAACTTCCAAATCCACCCGCTTAAACTTCAGGTGGGCAGAACTGACCATTAACAGTATCCCTACCAGTGCTAGGTAAAAAGACCCCTGGACAGTTAAGTCCAGTCAAAGGCAACTATGGGGTTGCGGCGCTCATCTCACTTTCAGGCTGAGGGAGCAGGCGTTTGTCCACAGACAGTTTTTCCGGGTCATGTGGCCAGCATGACTAAACTGCTTCTGGTGCAAAGGAACACCATGATGGAAACCAGAGCACACGGAAAAGCCGTTTACCTTCCCGCTGCATTGGTATCTATTTACTTGTACTGGTGTGCTTTTGAAATGCTAGGTTAGCAGGAGCTGGGAGAGAGCAACGGGAGCTCACCCTGTCATGGGGATTTGAACCACCAACCTTCCAATTGGCAAGCCCAAGAGGCTCCATGGTTTAGACCACAGCGCCACCCGCGTCCCTGCTAGGTAGCACATACCCTCTAAACAGGACACACAGAGAGCAGAGCTGGGTCACACAAGGATGCTCTGAATCCTAACCAGGTCCAGTTAAACTGACTCATAATTACTTTTCTTGCCTCCACAACCTTCTGCCTTGTGGTGGTGTGACTCTGGATGTGGTGGTGGCTCCACCAATCTGTTCAGCCCCACTGCTACCCACTAGGGGTTTGAACTGGGAAATAGTCACGCCCTAAAATAAGTCATAACAATACCCTTGCACTCCGGATAACCATATGACTTATTTCCCACACTTTCTTCCAAAGGATCACAGGACACCAATGAATGGAAACGGGTGGTGGTGGTGGGGATACTTATCTCTGTATTCTGTACTGCTGGGAATAACGTTTCCTGCAGCAGAAAGGAGTGACCAATAAACTCACTCCCAAACCGCATGAGGATCGGAAAGGTTGGCAGTGATTGAATTGCAAGAGGCTCCCTGACTTGTGCTTCGAATGATTGCAATCCTAATGTCCTCCCTCTCTGGAGAGCTTTTCTCCTGAAGGGGAAACCTTCATCCCTTTCACAGAGAGGCTGAGTACGCCAATAAAAGGCTGCCACCCTCACTGCGCCAAGATCCTCAGCAAGCGTCACGACTCCAGCTAATGCAGCCAGCCGAACCTTTACGGAAAGCACCACAGAAGCTAGACCAAATTACATTTATCATTTTATGCCCTTCTCCTTCCAGAAATAAAGCAAGGGATCCAAAACTGAACATTAAGACCTTTTTTTTTTTCATTTCCCAAACTGGTTCTGAAATGGCTCCCTCCCCCTTGCACCAGTTTTGTTCTCCTTTATGGATGCGTGGCTGCCACTTCATTTTAATGCTATAAATCCTGGTGCCTTTGCAGCCTGACAGCGAGTTTGGGATGTGATCGGAAAGCCAACGGGTGTTCTTTTTAAGGTTTAGCACTTGCCTGCGTCAAGTCTCCCCATATCAATCAGGCTAGGGTGTGCCCCGCAAGCCTGCGGCTATGGCAGAACACGGTGACCTTCTTACCAAGGGAGTTGGAAATTGGAAAAGGCGGGGGTGGGGGGAGGGCTTGATGTGATTGGAGAAAATTAAGATTGGGAGGAGGCGGAGGAAGCAATCACAACGTTCCCTCCTAAAACCCAAGGGACCAAATCAGCCAACGTCCAACCCGGCAAGAGTTTATTACACTTGCGAAAGCAACGTTCGTCAAGGCTGACAGGTCCAGAATGGAACCTGTCTGCCAATAAATAATTGCATTCTCCCTTCCTAAGAGGTCTTGTGGGACCTTTCTTTTTCAGGGGGAGGGCATTAAATGAGCACTTCGAGTCTTCTTGACTCCCTAGATTTTCATCCAGGCAAGGCTCGCAAAGCTGGGATATTAAGAACATTATTGTATTTGCACCCACATACAGTTGTCACCTCTCTCACAAGAACCAGATCTCTCATATAAGTTAATTTAAACTCAATCTTTAATTTAAACATTCTTCCAATGGTCATTTGTTACTGAGGCTGAACTAAAAGAAAATGGCTGCAAGGAAAAGAAATCCACCAGCTGGACCATTTTGAAAGTGGGCAAGGGGTCTCTCTTTCTATAAAATGACAGTCAGGGATGGAGGATGTTTCCATTCATATTCAAGGGGGAATGTAGCTGATACGCACTTTTTGAAACAATACATGAATTAAAACACAGACATCCTGCAAATTTTGCACTTCCTGAATTTTGCAGAACAGTTCTCCAGCCATGAAATGTAATGTGCAATACACACACACACGAGTGAAGTGTGCATCTGAATGTACATATTACTGAAAAATAACATTAGGGAAAATTGCTTTATCCAAAATGTATACATTAGACAAAATAGCATACAAAATCGTGTTTATCAGGAGAAATGCACACTAAAAAACAGGTGAATTTTTGTAAGAGAACTCAGCTTGCTAGGCATTACTGGGCTCCTCTTTCTGTTAAACTTATTGTCTTCACAGTTTGCTTCAGCTGTTTTGCTCAAATCAGTTATCTGGTACCCTAGGGTAAATGAAGTACTGTCCACCTATCTCAGCCACTCACCACCTGTCTGTCTTCTGATCTGCAGGCAATACAGGGATTGGCATTGGCTGTCAGCTTCTTCATCCTTCACTTCAGGGTTACCATTGTAGAACTTGCTTCTCCATACCAGCTCCTGGAAACCATAGGAGGAGTGAGTGTTCTTGTGCTCAAATCCTGCTTCCTCAGCCTCTTTGGGTGGCTTCCAGCAAAATATTTAAAAAATAATAAAATGTCAAACTTTAAAAACTTCCCAATACAGGGCTGCCTTCAGATGTAATCTAAAAGTATTGTAGTTCTTTATCTCCTTGACATCTGATGGAAAGGCATTCCACAGGAAGGGTGCCACTACCGAGAATGCCCTCTGCCTGGTTCCCTGCAACTTCACTTCTCGCAGTGAGGGAACTACCCAAAGGCCCTCAGGGCTAGACCCAGCAGGCTATTCTTATGCTGTTATGCAGAAGAGAAGAGGATAGAAATACAACTAGAATTACTTGGCTCTGCCTGTCCTTGTCTCTGTCTCCACCTACTTTTGGCCCCTCTGCTTTCCTTCCTACCACTGCCCTAGCTACCATCATCTATTAATAAATCATGTTAGATCAGTGCCTCCCCTCTCTCTATATATATGGAGAGAGAGAGAGAGAGAGAGAGAGAGAGAGAGAGAGAGAGAGTACACCCCCCCCGATCACCCTTTGCCATCCTGGTACCCTACAGAAATTTTAGACTACACCTTTCAGCAGCCCCTTGCCAGCACAGCCATGTGATGAAAGTTGTACTCCAAAACACCACGGTTAGGGAAGGCTTCCCTGGCCAAGGTGGACCAGACTTCAGGCTTACTGGATCCACAAATTCAAGTCTGTTGCAAAACAAAACAAAACAAAACAAAACAAAACAAAACAAAACAAAACAAAACAAAACAAAACAAAACAAACAAAACACAATTCAGATCCCAGCAATGTGTTTTGAGTACCAGAACTGAATGGAGCTACAGTCCTTCTACAAACCCACCCTGTGTACCCCAAGCTTTCTTCATTTCAGCACTATAACTTTGGTCTTGGGAGAAGTCGTTGTCTTGCTGCTGCTGTTGATCAATTGGGAATCAGAAATCCTTGCCGATTTACTGCAAATCACCTAGAGAACAACTTTTTGCACAATCCCTATCCCAAGTCATGATTCCAAGGAACCAGGCTAAGATATTTTCTCTGTCCCACCTTCTTTTCTCTCCAGTTCTGTTGTCTTCTGTCCACCCCCCCCACTCTTCTGCCTTCTTTCCTCTTTCACTCATGTATGAACTAACTGATGTCTGATCTATTCAGTAATTCGGCCCTAAAAAGTAACCTTCAGTTAACTGCTCACATAACTTGCCTGTCACTTTTGATCACAGTCAGGGCATTGTTTTTGCAAGTGTTCTACAGTAAAAATTACCCGCTTTGCTCTTGTCAAGCAAATGAGCCCCGAGGCTTATGTGAAAACCATTAATGATCAAGCCACGGGAGGGACTGGAGCAGTGGGCATTTTGTGGCTTTGGAATCCACCCTTCCCTCCCTCCTGAGCCATTTAGGTTTAATTAACCTTCATTAGCTGACATGGGGATATCGCTTGCCTTGATGTCCAATTGCAGGGAATCAGTTTTGACTGCTGATCACTAGGGATGCTGCTGTTCCTGTGTGGGTACCCAGGCAGGAATATGTCTGTGGAACAGAAATAAACGATGACTAATATGCTTCAGAATACCAGCCTTGGGCTTTGGAAGCCATTCCCAGCTGCCGAAAAAGTTATTGATAGAACAAAACAACAGGCATGCACTCATACGCTTTTTTTTTCTTCCTCTCACTGCCATGGTGCGATTCTGAAAACCATTTCACCATTGTTATAGGAATAAATTATGGGCATGATTTGACCATAATAAAGTAATTCTAAGTCATAATAATACAGAATGTAAGGATCAGACCAAGGGCCTAGACCAGCACAGGATCCTGTTCTCACAATCCCATTGATTAGAGAATTGCAGCTCAATTCTACCCAGTCCCCTTACAGAACTTACTTCCAAGTAAGTGAGCATAGAATTGTGCCTTTAAGCACATATTTAACTCCCCAGTTTAAATCAATGGGACTGCACTTTGGCCAGATCATTGTTATTTTTATTAAATCCCATTGGCCATGGTAGGGTTTGTTAGTTAGTATTCCAAATCTAGACTCCACACCATGGAAACTAACAGCAGACATACACAAAAGGGAAGAGGAAATGTTGCAAAAATAAAACAAAAACCAAGATTACATAAAATCACGGATACCATAACACAAGAGTACAGTCCATTTCCCTCTCAGATTTTCTGCTGAAAGCAAACAAAGTCGACCTCCTAATTCTCACTGGATTCTCAAGCAAAAACTGATGGGCTTTGGCTTTGAGCATAGCTGTATCGACAAGCAAAGAGCTAAGATAATTTCCCCTTTCTGGGGCATAGATCTTAGAAGGCAAGCCACAAGTCCTGGTCTGGCTAAAGTTAGTTCTGTTGTAAGTCGCATTGAAACGAATGGAACAAATTAATAGTGACCATTTCCTTCCATTGCTTAACTGGAGCTCACTTTAGCCGGATCAGAACTCTCAGCTGAAATCCTAGTCTGTTAAAGTTAGTGAGAGATTTTTTTGTGGAGCAAGATTTCATGTCTCCCAATTCTTCTCCTTTCAAATAGCCCTGACTGATAGTTTCTCCAAAATAAAATGCATCCAACCTCTGGTTCATGCACGCATTGAGGCTTAGATGTCAAACCCATTAATATTAGGCGGGCACCTATGCTGCATTGTTTTTGGCAACTGCTAAACACTTTTTTTTTGTTTAGACAAGTCTACCAAGACATGTAACTTTAACATGCAATTTTAACACACCATAGGTAGGTAGGTAGGTCAAATTTATGTCAATTTGTTTTCAATGTTTGATTTTTGTTTTGTATTTTAAATGACAAATTGATATGGCTTTTGCAAGATGCTTAGAGGTTTTCAAAATTAAGAGGTATATAAATTTTGTCATATATGAGAATTTCACTTTAAACTGAAAAAAATAATTACTAGTAGGATTAGGTAAAGGTAAAGGGACCCCTGACAGTTAAGTCCAGTTGTGAACGACTCTGGGACTGTGGCGCTCATCTCGCTTTACAGGCCGAGGGAGCCGGCGTTTGTCCGCAGACAGTTTTTCTGGGTCATGTGGCCAGCATTACTAAGCCGCTTCTGGTGAACCAGAGCAGCGTATGGAAATGCTGTTTACCTTCCCGCTGGAGTGGTACCTATTCATCTACTTGCACTTTTTGGCGTGCTTTCGAATTGCTAGGTTGGCAGGAGCAGGGACTGAGCAACGGGAGCTCACCGCGTTGCAGGTATTCGAACCACTGATTGTGGTTCTGATTGGCAAGTCCAAGTGGCACAGTGGTTTAAAGCACAGTGCCACCTGCATCCCAAATAAGTAGGATTAATATGCCTCAATAAAGACAAATTTGGGAAGAGAAATAATTTCAATTGTTTCTGTTATGAAAGGAAAAGATGGCATCCGAAGAAAGTTGAAGTTTGCACCCAGCTGTGTATACAGGAAGTCTGGATGGAAATACAGGAGTTTCAGCATACTGTGGTAAGCAGGTGCTCCTGTGCATGCATCAAGGGGGAATGAGAAGTAGACCATCTCTATGGGGAAAGCTGAGCACATAGGCCAATGAAACATTCCCTGCATTTATTCCTTGTTATCCAAGAAACTCTCACTCGGCCTTAAATACACCTAACTTGGTCTTGTAATAACCAAGTGGTTAAACAATGAATCCTGGACACTTAATGCACCAGAGTTCCTTAGACTGTAGAACAACACACGTTCATTGTGTCGTATGCATTTAAATAAGAACATTATTTTGGAAAAGTACCAAGCAGTATTCCTTGGCACATCCCATTGAGACCAATGGAATTTAAAATTGAGATTGCAGTGTGCTGCTGCTGCTGCTGCTGCTGCTGCTGCTCTCTCTCTCTCTCTCTCTCTCTCTCTGATGCTTATTATTTTTGACACTTTGATTGGTCCTGGTAAAAGGATGGTCTGACTGTAGCTTTTGGATTTTTCCTTGGAAGAGAGGTGAGGGCGTCAGCTGTGAACCAGCATCTAGCCTGGTGAGAAAGCTCCACCCAAAAGAGACTGTCTTAAAACAGGGATACTTGTGGTCACTTTCAAGAGCAGCAACTCCCAGTAGCAAGAGTTGAGCTAGCTGTTTTATTCCCCATTTTACAATTCATGTTCATTTCAATCTTGCTTTTGGATTTAGTATGTTTGATTGCACCATTCCATTGTAATATTAATTTCATGCTATGATGTGTTTGTTGAAGGACTGACTTTGTCTCGTTTGAGTTAGTTTGATGTGCTTTGTAACAAATTGCTTTTTCAGATGTGACGTTCCATTGTGATGTTTGTTCGTGAGCCATTTTGGGCGTCATCCACAGTGAAAAAATGGCACAGAAAGAAGCTAAACAAAATTAGCCTAACTTCATTGCTTTGATTGGCTGAGCAATGTGCAGGGTTTGTTGTTGCTGCTATGTTTATGCTAATGCATGTATTTGCATAAGCTGTTTGTCACTTCTACTTGTATTATTGTGATAATAAATCAGTTAAACAAAAGAAAGCACGGGGAAACTAATCAGCTCAGTGCAATGACAATGTAAAAAAGGTAGTGCCATTGGTTACAAATGCAAGAAAAGTTCTTGAAATGGTTCGCTTGGCACTTTTGTTCCTAATGCTATCACCGGTGACACTGTTGACATTTTCAATGTTCTTCCAAAGAAGAAAGACGGAAAGTGGAAGAAATGTAAGCCCCTTTCCTTGTATTAAACAATGATGCACATATTAGTAGCTGTTTCTTAGGATATTTGGGAGTTGAGATACATTGCCTTTGCTAAAATAATGCAGTACAACATGAGGCCTAATATGTCATTGGAAAGACTAATATTTAATGTGCCATAAGCTTTCATGAGCCATTTACCTTTGCATCAGTTGGTGTACCAAATTTGGTCAGGGAGACTACCTCATGCATTTACTAGACTGGGGGGGGGTGTTTAACCAATGAAAGGTTATTCCACATTAAAAGGTTAATCTAACCAATGAAAGGTTATTTCTCATTAAATGCATTAGCCTTTAAGGAATCCTTATAGCTGCTTCTATTCCAGATGGAAGTGAATGAATGAAATTATTCACAGAGAAAATTAAGATGCTAGCTTGTATACATTCCTGTCATTTCAGTAATCAGAAATGTTTGCAAAACTCATGGTTTAGGCAGGCTTCCATAGCCTGGTGCCCTCTAGATGTTTTGGACTCCAACTCCCATCATCCCTGATCATTGGTCATACTAGCTGGGGCTGATGGATTTTGTAGTTCAAAACACTGGGAAGGTATCAGGCCAGTGAATGCAAATTTAGAATATTGTACAAAATTCTCCCTCTGTCTCCTTTTGCTTCCCCATCTACAAATGGGGCTCCTATTGTGATGGAGGATGCATTACTACTTGATTCCCATCCTCCCCCTGGCCTTCCATAAATTACCCATCAAATGATTTATGCCAGGTATTCTTAATATACTTCAATTTCCTATCAGTGAAATGAGAATACCGTAATTGTGTCTCATAAAAATGGATCAATCACAGAACAAGGGTGGCATTTATGGAGAGCTGAGACACCGTTCTCCTCAGGTTTCAGATCACATACTTTTTTGTTTTTTAGAAAAAAAAAATCTAAACCAAAAATTTCTAAATCTGTAAGTGGTATGCATAAAACAAAATAACATAAAATAATTATCAATAATCGACAAAAATTGTGTATAAATCCCACATAGAGTGCATTATAACAATCCATTATTGAGGTTGCCAGTACCTGGACTACTGTGGTCAAGCTGTCCTGGTCCAAGAACAGTTGTAGCTGTCATACTAGCTAAAACTGGTAAAAGCAATTCCTAGCCACCAAGGCCACTTGGGTCTTCAGTGACAAAGCTGGACCAAGGTGGACCCAGGAGCACTCCCAGATTGTGTAACCTGCTCCTTCAGAGGGACCCCAGCCCCATCCAGGGTAGGCGTTTGGCCAATTTCTCAGACAAGGGAACTAACTGCCCGTAGTGTCTCCATCTTGCCAGGATTCAAGCTCAGTTTATTTCCCTTCATCCAGCCCACCAATAAATCCAGGCCCTGGTCCTGGAATTGTATGGCCTCCCTCAATTCAGATGCTATGGAGAAATGAATGTGTGAGGCAGAGGACAACTGCTCCCACAGCTCCCCTGAAGGCCCTGTAGGCAAATTAAAAACTTCAGATAAATTTGTGCACAGAAACACAAAACCAGCAATAGGTGTCTGAATGTAGAGGTTAAATTAAAGAGATGTCATTGCTTTGCTACTCCCTTCCTGCTTTGCTGGCGTGCTGTACCCATTCAGGAGCAATATTCTCTTGGCCTCCTTGCACCATCTCCTCTCCCTTGCATTTCATCTGCACTCTACTTCGACTAATAAACTCAAGTCTCTTGCCAAGTTGAGAGGTCTCTTGTCTCGGTCTCATAATCTCGGCATCCTTGGCAGGATGGCAGCAGCAATCAATCCCCATCTTACTGGCATAAAAACCAACAGATTAGAGCAATAAGGAGGTGTTTAGGTACAAGGGCAACCCCCATCAGCATTCCACATAGGTTTGTAGCATCAACAAATATGCTGGGATCACCTTTCGGGAGTCAACAGAAAGGGCAGATATCATGGCTGACAGTTTAATTGCTTTCTCTCCCTCTCCTTTCATGTCTCTCCTTCCATTCTGATACCATCTTCCTTTTTAAAAAATTGTAGCCACCAGATGCTTAAGAACTAATTCTAATATTGTTTGTGATTCAGCAGTACCCAGGGCTCAGAAAAACGAGGAGAATAAATTGCTGGCAAAGTGGTCATTAACACACATTTACATAGGTTAATTACAAGGGATAATGAAGGACACTGCTTTTGCTTCTTCAGTGGGATGCTTGGGCTGCCAGGATGGACAATGCAACAATAGAAGATTTCTGCACCTCTGCAAGATACTTTCTGCTCAGTTCTGAATAACCTGATATTAACTATGGCTCGTCCAACATGAAATGCAGAAATGGTGGTAGAAGCCTCATAAGTTTTACACCTTTCTCATTTCTAGGCTAGCTATACAGGCAAACATCACATTTGGCCCTACCTTGTAGTACTTGAGTGGCCAAATTCATGCCTTAAGGCTTAATTCTGACTTTCCTGCCTGTTCTTCCCACTCTATCATTGTTCTGGAATGCAGTTTTCTTATATTCTAATTGTAACTGTTCCTATTGCTGAGAATTAAAATGCCATGTCTCAGAAAGGAAGATTTTAGCTGGCGTCTATTACTCTATAAGCAATGTACCCTATAAACATAGAGCAATAGAATCATAGATGTTTAGAGTTAGAAGTCCAGCATCCTGCAGAATCTACAGTGTAGAATGCAACTACAACATCACTGAGAAATGGCCATTCAGGCTCTTCCAGTGAAGTAGAGTCCACCATCTTCTGAGGTGGTCTGTTCCAATGTCAACACATTACCATTAGGAAGTTCAGTCAAAATGTCCTCCCTTTCCATTTCCACAACTTAGTTATTGTCCTGCTCCCCGCAGGAACAGAGAACGAGTCTGTCCCATCTTCTGTATGATACGTATTTGAAATTAGATACGTATTTGAAATTACTGCCATGTCTTCCATTAACGGTCTCATCTCTGACCTAAATATACCAAACACTTTCAACTGTTCCTAATAAGCCTTAGTTCCAGGGACCCCTAACCACCCTAGCTGCCCTCCTCTGGGCATGTTTCAGTTGGTCAATGCTCTTCTTAAAATGTAGCAGCCAGAATTGGACACACTACAGATGCAGTGCAAAATAGAATGGAAATATTTCTTCTTGTGAACTGCAACACACTTTTGTGAATGTCACTTTGGATTTACAGTTCTGAGTTCACTTTTTGCCACTGCAGACTTCCAATATTAGCAAATACAGGATGCTATCACCCTACTCTTGTGACTGATTTCACATGGAGCCATGAACATGGAATGGGAAGCCACTCATTCTGGTGTTTCATGTGTATGCTGACACATTCTAGATGGCCTGGATTGAAAACACTGATCTTTACATCTTATGGAAATATGTTCATTTTTTTAGCTTGGAAGGCACAAATTAATTTCCAATTACAGAACTACTTTGTATGACTGAAGGGTTCCTTACCATATCAGATTTAGATAGGCATCATTCTGCTTTTAGCTTGTATATAAACTATTACTATCAATGTCATAATTAAGATATTATATATCATATAGTGATCAAAGCATAATGACTAGAAAAGGGGGGGGGGAATATGGTCATGACTGTATGGAAGGTACTTACATAAAGGAAACTTAGGAGAGGGATAAAATGGACTATAAATGCTATATTATAGTTTCTTAATGCTTTTTCATGATTTATTTGATCCTTCTACAATGTAATCACATTTCAAGCCACTCTCATTTCCAAAATAGATTTCCCAGGGACAAGACCAAAAAATGTGTGTTCTTTTTATTTGGGGTAGGAAGACATGAAATGGAACACAGGACAACTGCACCTGAAAGAATTGTATTTAAGAAGGCCCTGCTAGATTTCAGATATACTTCATTCAAATTATCTGAAATTTGTCCAGATCATATCCCTTGCCAGATACAGTCTGCATCCCAAATTTGCCTCACTAATATATCAGCCATTTCTCCACATTGAAGTTTTGCTAACTTTTTGCTATAAATGATTGATTACATGATTGAGAATTTCACAGTTCCTGAGCTAAGGAAGGAGCAATTATGAATAAAACAGAAAGGAAGGAGATTTCTAGAACTTTGGGTAAATTGCAGCCAAAGATGAGCACTTTTGTGTCCCACTGATTTAAACAGCAAGAGTTACTCATCCTTTTGGGCAAGAAAAAGATACGGTGTCAAAAGTGCCTGATTTAAAGAGCAATTCTTTTTGTGGTATTCTTGCCATAATGGTAGCTTTCGCCCATTTGCACAACAGAAAGCATAAGAAGATAAGATGAGCCTGCTGGATCAGGCCAATGGCCCATTTAGCTCAGCATCCTGTTCTCATAGAAGCCACCCAGAATGGTGCTAGAAATAAGTCAACACAATAAATCTATCTTTCTTTGCCTGCATCAACCGACCATCTTTGATTTCAAGCCCAGAGCACTGGGGATTTTCTGAAAGCATTACAATAAGATCTGTTTATATCTCAGGCAACATATTTCACCCCATGCTATGCAAGGGGTTCCTCCTCCTCCTTGTGCTTGTGTTTTGTTTTTAACATGCCCATTGGGTTTCATTACAAAGTCAGCTCCAAGTCAGTGGTTTGAGAAATATTTTTGTATGCAGGATGAAGTGTGAAAACAAATTGGGGGATCCAGGCTATGAGGACATGGGAAAGATGAGACGGAGGTGTTTCACAGGCGACAGTTTGATGGTAGAAATTTATGTACATATCTTTGAATTCTGTAATAATAATTCATGCATCCCAACGGGTGTGTGTTTATTCTTCTTTGTTTCTTTTTCTGAAAAACAATGAGTTACCTGAATTTAGGATTAGTAACAGTGCCACACTGCAGGCAGATGCTAAGCAAGTGTACACATACAGAACTATCAAATATCATTGTTTCACATCATGTGTGTTTGATTCGTGCGAGAGCTTTTGGCAAATATTTTGATATCTCAGAGTCAGGATCTCAGAGGGTTCTGTTGCTGGACTACATCTAACACTGAAGGGAAGAAAAACTCTGAGCAGTGTGAACCGTGTCATGCCTCAACTGTTGTTGTGAACTCGCCATGCCTGTTTAGCCTAATTAGAATCCAAACATTTGGGATGTCTTTGAAACTCATACACAAACCCACTGATGATCCAATGAACTTTGCCTCTATTAAGCTTAACTGACACATTAGCTGACAGTTTGGTTTTCATGCATGGGAAAGTCATTCATCTTGTTAAAAATTAAATTATATTAAATTAAAGTATATTTTCACCTGTGAATGTACATATTCCTCCCTCCCCAGGTCAATGCACTGAGGGGTCCAGGAGCCTTAGACCACTCTTACTAAAATCTTACTCTAAAAAGACACAGGGAACAATGATTGTTGCTGCTAATCAGTGTGAAGTAAGAGATATAAGAAAGAGAAGAAACCAACCACAAAGTTCACATGCCTTCCCAGAGTTTCCCAGGAAGAGGGATTGATTATTAAACCACTCTGGGAATTGTAGCTGTGTGAGGGTAATAGGAGCCTATCAACCACTCTCAGCACCCTTAACAAACTATAGCTCCCAGGAGTCTTTGGGAGAAACCACCATAACAGTTTAAAGTGGTTTGATACTGCTTTAAACTGAATGGGGTAACTGTGCCCCTGAAGGACCAGGTGCGCAGCCTGGGAGTCATTTTGGACTCACAGCTGTCCATGAGGCGCAGGTTAATTCTGTGTCCAGGGCAGCTGTTTACCAGCTCCATCTGGTATGCAGGCTGAGACCCTATCTGCCCACGGACTGTCTCGCCAGAGTGGTGCGTGCTCTAGTTATCTCCCGCTTGGACTACTGCAATGGCTCTACGTGGGGCTACCTTTGAAGGTGACTTGGAAACTACAACTAATACAAAATGCAGCAGCTAGGCTGGTGACTGGGAGTGGCCGCTGAAACCACATAACACCGGTCTTGAAAGACCTACATTGGCTCCCAGTACATTTCCGAGCACAATTCAAAGTATTGGTGCTGACCTTTAAAGCCCTAAACGGCCTCAGTCCTGTATTCCTGAAGGAGCATCTCCACCCCCATCATTCTGCCCGGACACTGAGGTCCAGCACTGAGGGCCTTCTGGTGGTTCCCTCACTGCAAGAAGCCAAGTTACAGGGAACCAGGCAGAGGGCCTTCTTGGTAGCGGCACCCGCCCTGTGGAACGACCTCCCACCAGATGTCAAAGAGAAGAACAACTACCAGACTTTTAGAAGACATCTGAAGGCAGCCCTCTTTAGGGAAGCTTTAAATGTTTAACAGACTACTGTATTTTAATATTTTGTTGGAAGCCGCCCAGAGTGGCTGGGGAAACCCAGCCAGATGGGTGGGGTATAAATATTAAATTTATTAAATTTATTATATTATTATTATTATTATTATTATTATTATTAAAGGTAGATGGCAGGTTAGAGGAGTGTGTGTGTGTGTGTGTGTGTGTGTGCATATATCTTTGGGAAAGCTAATCCCATCCTAGAGTTTCCAAAGGGCTCCCACATCTCCTTCCCCACTGCCTATCAGCAGGGCAAATTTCTCTTTCAGCGATGCTTGGTTGTTGGAAAAGATGTCAATGAAAGGATGCAGAATTCATTTTAAAGAGAGCTGTTAAGAATTTTTTTGACATTTGACATGTGGAAAGGTTACCACACACAACGTTTCCCTCCTTTCTTTCCCCTCATTTCCCTCTTGTCAGTCATAGTCAAGCCTGGCTGCATTATTCCCATTGAATGACTTATTATTATTTTTTAGATACTCACCCTTGAAGATGATGCAAAAAGTGCATGTTCAACATATTGCCTGGCTGCAAAACCAAACCATTGCCTTCTTCTTGATTTGAGAGCAGGGTAGAAAAGGAACAATATCCCATGGTTCCACTCAGATTACTGAGAAGGTCTTTTTAAAAGTGCAACCATTGCTTGCAGCACTCAGTCAACTGCCTTAAGACTTGAGAAGTCTACCTTTTCCCACTGCAAATGCAAATATCTGCTTCACAAATCCTTTTCCTTTCCACTGCAAAAAGGAAAACGGGAAAGCAGCTGGATCTACTAAAGGCTCTGTGATCTGCTCCTCAGCTTAGAACCTCAGGTGGCTGGGAGGCCCAGAATCCAGCAGGGGCTGCAATGGTCTCTAGCTTTCCTCCTCCTCTTTGTTGTTTCTGCCTCTTCCACTGCCCATTCAAGCGTTCAAGAAGTGACAAGATTAAACAGGAGCAACAGCCTCCACTTGCCTTGCTATTTCCTCCCAGGCAATGAAGCTCACCTGTATTTGGCTCCTTTCAAACACAGGTGAAATCTGTGATCTAGTTGAATGGCTTTCCAAGGATAAATCCACAAAGCACATCCAGTGCATGTTCAAAGCGCAGTATGTCTCCCCAAAGAATCCTGGGAGAATCCTGGGTTCACAGAGCTATGATTTCCAGCATGTATAATAAACAATATCTCCTAGAATTCCTTGGGATAAGTCATTTGTTTGGAATGCACGGTGGGGACCTGCCCCAAGAAGTATGCAGTCATATTACCTCTTAAGAAATCAGTGTGAGGAATGGTGAGATTCAGCTCAGGGGGAAGAACAAAAATCTGATTGTATTTAAATTTTAGCTGCCTATGGTCACATCTTAAAGGAGAGGAATAAAAAACGGCAGGGCAGAAACTGGAATTGTGACCCACAAGAGTTTTATATTAGTAAATTAAGGACAAATGAGATTTGGAGGTATGACCTAGCAGGCAATGAAATGTATTACCAAGACTTTAATCCTTAGACCTTCTGTCAAATAGTTTGTGAATTATTTTCTGGTTCCATGCAGAAATCCATAAGAAGAGTCCTGTTGAAAGAGACTGATCCAGAAGTCCAGAGTCCTGCTTCTCACACTGCCCCATAAGGAGGACTTGAGAGCAATAACCACCTCCTGCCGTTGTCCCCCAATGACAGGTACTTAAAGGAATGGTGCCTCCTGTATATCTTGAGAAGGTCTCTCCTCCTGATTTTGAATCCAAAGTCTATAGGGATTTGATCGGGGGGGGGGTTATTTGGAAGGAGTAGCTAATACCTTTCACATATTCAAAGAGGGAAAGGGAATAGACAAACTAGGGAATGGATAATCTACAGTGTCTGAAAAAATAAGGAAGCAAATGGTAACTGCTAAGGGCTGTGCATCGGCTTTGCATGTACCTCAGATGATGAGGTGAACGGGGTGATTTGGAGCAGACGTGCACATTTTCTGAGTTGGATCACACTATTGGCAGGTCATGCTGAAGTGGATCAGGGAGTCCTCAACCTTCTGAGTGTTGGTTTCTGCTTTCCTTCACTGTGCAGCTCTGCTTGTCACGAGACAGGTGTTTACATTCCACAGTCTGTACTGTTGGAGTTTCTCACGGGAAAGGGAGACTGGATGTGACGTACACTGGTTTCCTGGTTTTCTCTGTGTGATTCTCTCCGAGCTGTCGAGGAGAGAGGATGCATTTTCTGCTCCGGCAGAGGCAAGATGTCTTTCTGTAATATACCAGCTTTGAACTGTAAATAAAGCAATAAAGAGTATGCAGCACATATTCCTCATCCTTCCGCTGGGCACAAGACTCTGCTTTAAATCAACACGTGGTTATGGGCCCAGAGGTCGAATCGGAGTGCCGGCAAAGGATCGGAATGCAGAGGGACAGATCGGAACGGAATCTGCTCTGCGCGTAGAGGTGATTGATGAGGTATGTGCTACTGCTCCGGGCAGCCTGCCAGCTTCAAGTTAATGGCTTTATGGCTGGACTTTGAACTTTTAAAGCCGGTTTTGCCGGGAATAGGCAAAAGGCTCCCAGGCACAAGTCACTATGCTGGGGAAATCGAAAGTAACTTTTAAGTGTGCCTTTGTAATAAGGCAGCTGCAGCAGTGACGCAGCAAGAATTAAAGCAGCATATATATGACGCTGAAGGCTAATGCCAGAGTCATGATGGCCCTTCAGGATGCTTGTGGGATTCCTAAGCTCAACAAGAAGTGCATCATCACAAAGAAAAATGATTATGTATTGCATGCAGAATATGTTGATCATTTGTTTGTTTTGTATTATGATGATGTGGTGCAGGATGACACTTGTTGCATTGCAGGTTCTAACAAAAGTTTGCATGCAGAATGTATTCACGATTTTCATCGAAAATTTGGTCATTTGCATTTTGAGGCAGTATCTAAAATGCCTGCCTTGGTTGAAGGTATGACTATCAAACCCTGCAGGTACCACATGAAGTGCAAAGCATGCGCAGCAAACAAGGTGAAAATGGCTGCGAAAGGTAAGGTGTCTAGTAGGAAAGCTACAGAACCATACCAGGTTGTTCATGCTGATTTGGTTGGACCACTAGCGCCCTCTTTGGGTGGAAATAGATACTTCATGGTTCTCATTGATGCATTTTCTAGATATATTTTTGTGTACAATCTCAAGCAGAAATCGGAGGCTTTTCCTAGGTTCAAGGAATTCTGTGCTTGGTTGGAAAATGTGCATGGTAAGAAGATAAAGACTCTTTTCAGTGATCGCGGGGGGGAATTCACTTCTCAGCAGTTTGAAGCTTTTCTGACTGAGAAAGGAATTCAACACGATTTGTCTAGTCCTCGCTCGCCATGGCAGAATGGACTTGCGGAACGGGCAAATCAGACATTGCTTCAAGGGTTAAAAGCCTTGCTGCATGATGCCAATCTTCCAGAGAGTTATTGGGCCGAATCTCTCTCGTGTTTTGTTTACAGTTACAATCGCAGGTTATCTTCAGCGATTGGTTGTACTTCTATGAGAAGATGTTTGGCAAGAAGCCATACATCAAACACATGAAGATTTTTGGTTCTGACATGTGGGTTCGCTCACCACAAAACTCCAAGTTAGACAAGCGTGGACTGCATGGTATCTTTCTAGGTTATCAGAAAGGGTCTTACAGAATAATGATGACTGACTCTAAGACAATTAAGCTCACGAGAAGTGTTGAGTATAATGCAAAGTGGGGGGAGAATGTGGGAATTTTCCAATGTTATCCTGATGACGGTAATGAGACTGAGGATAGTCAAAAGCAACCACAACAGCCCACACCCACTGATGAAGGTTCTGAGTCTGAATCTGAAACTGAATCGGGTGATTCAGAGGATTTCGAGAGTGCGAAAGCCTCTATGCGACCCTCTGAAAGCTCTGATCAAGAATTGGAGGAACCATTGTTCACAATAGGTCGTTTTCTCCTAAGAAGGAAGAGGAGAGTGTTGAAGACTTAAGGCTAATTCGTAGGTCACAGAGAGCCACAAAAAGCAAACCTCCAAAGAGATTTGCTGATGAGTTTGCTACGATAGCAGTAACAGCTGTTAAAAGCTCCAAGAAGGTATTTGAACCTTCAAGTTTCCAAGAAATCCAGGGTTTGGATTCAAAGGAAGCTGAGCCATGGTTAAATGCCATGAAGGCTGAGCTTGATTCCTTAGAAAGGAACAAAACATGGGAGCTAGTTCCAGTAGTTCCAGGAATGAAACTGCTTGGAAGCAAATGGGTCTTCAAAGCGAAGACAGATCAAAATGGCAAGATAGTCAGACACAAAGCCAGATTGGTAGCCAGAGGTTTTGCACAGGTACCAGGTCAAGACTATCACGAGACCTATTCACCCACAGTGAGATATGAAAGCATTAGGCTTATGCTCAAGCTAGCTGCAGAGGAAAATCTACACATTAGTCACCATGATATTAATACAGCTTTTCTGTACGGATCTCTAGATGAATCACTTTATATGCTTCCACCTGATGGCGTACAGGTAAAACAGGGATTTGTTTGTGCTCTGAAGAAATCCCTTTATGGTCTCAAACAAAGTGCACGGTGTTGGCACACAAAACTCACTGAAGTATTGTTTTCTCTAGGTTTTCAGCAAGGAAAGCTGATCCATGTGTATTTGTCAAAGAGGAGGGGCAAAAGAAACTGTACTGTTTGTTTTATGTTGATGATTTATTATTCTTTTGGAAAGATGTCGCAATGTACAATAACGCCCTAGCTCAACTGAAAGAGCACTTTGACATGAAAGATCTTGGTGAGGTAAACAACTACCTATCTCTGGAAATAGAGAGAGATCAAGATGGTAACATTCTAGTACACCAGTCACGGAAAATTGCTGATGTGTTAAGCAAACTAAATCTGATGGATGCTAACCCTGTAGACACACCGATGACAACAGGTTATCAGGTAGATGACACTGAAGAAGCATTTTCTGACACTACACTGTACAGGAGTGTGCTAGGCAAGCTAAACTTCATTGCCAGATGTTCAAGACCAGACATTGCTGTTAGCTGTAATTTGCTAAGCAGACAAGTCAACAATCCTAGTGTCAAGCACTGGAAAGCTCTGAAACGCATAGCGCGGTATTTGAAAGGCACTATGCATTACAGACTGAGATTTAACAATCAGAAGTCTGGTGGTCTTGAGATATTTGCAGATGCAAGTTTTGGAAGTGACGCTACAGACAGGAAAGGTACGTCTGGAGTTTGCTACATGTACAATCAGAGTCTGTTTGATTGGTCATGCAAGAAGCAAACAACAGTTAGCTTAAGTACTTGTGAAGCTGAACTGAATGCACTGTCTTATTCACTTAAGGATTGTGAATGGTTAGTACAATTGTGCAAAGATATGAAAATTCCTGTCAAATGTCCAATCCAGGTTTACCAGGACAACAAAGCATGTTTGGCTTTGCTGAAGTCTGAAGGTTGTAAGCAAAGCACAAAGCACTTGCAATTAAAGTTGCAGCATGCTAGGGAATGTATTCAGAAGGGACTCGTAACGGTGTCCTATATGCCAGGTAATAAAATTCCTGCTGATGTATTGTCCAAGATTGTATCGAGGGATCAACACTGTACCTATGTGCAGAAGTTGGGTTTGTACTGATACTGTACGAACACGCTGCCCAGTGATGTTCACAGAAAGGGGGAGGATGTTGGTTTCTGCTTTCCTTCACTGTGCAGCTCTGCTTGTCACGAGACAGGTGTTTACATTCCACAGTCTGTACTGTTGGAGTTTCTCACGGGAAAGGGAGACTGGATGTGACGTACACTGGTTTCCTGGTTTTCACTGTGTGATTCTCTCCGAGCTGTCGAGGAGAGAGGATGCATTTTCTGCTCCGGCAGAGGCAAGATGTCTTTCTGTAATATACCAGCTTTGAACTGTAAATAAAGCAATAAAGAGTATGCAGCACATATTCCTCATCCTTCCGCTGGGCACAAGACTCTGCTTTAAATCAACACTGAGTAGCTCTATTGCCTAGTTCCCCTCCCCCCCCGAAAGTTAACTGCACATCCGTTCTCTCGTTTTCTTCTCAAAGAAATGTAACCAATCTGACTGCAGAAATGCACAGAGCCTGGGAGAGGATGGGATGAAGAGATGGACAGGTCTAGTTTTCAATTACTGTGAATTAGTTTCCCAGTACATGCCAACCACAGTGGATTTTTTTGGGAAGGATGCTGAAGTAAAGAAACAGAGTTGTTCTTCAGGTGGGTCATCATTCCCCAAATTTTGGCTGTGAGAGCTGGGGTTAAGTGACGGAGGTAGGCTATTGAAGTGACCTGCTTCTTTCCAATCATTCTTTTTCCTAACACACAGTTCAAAATTATTCATCTCCATATCCTTAGAAAGGGCAGCTATGCCTGCAGTATGCATCCAATTCTTGCAGAAAATTAAAAAAAAAAATCCTCCCCCCCCCCCGCTTTAAAACCAGGTTCCCTGCACAGAAAAAACCCTGGATGGATCTGTCTAAACATTGGCAGTTATAATTTGTTATTACAACAGTTCTTTGGCCTGCAAATCTTATCCTATTATGCAGAAAGCAGAAAAAGAGGGGGGGAAGGTTAAGGGTGTGTTTAGATTCCCCATTATAATCAACAGAGGTGAAGCACAGCTTTGATTTAACAGATCAGATTCAGGCCCAGATAATGAATCGATTCAGAATGGATCCAAAACGGACCAGGCTGCTCCCAGATACTACAGGTACAGATACAAAGACACACTCCTCATAATTACTATAGCAAGTTTCAAGTGGAAATCTGTACAGAAAGAAATACCAGTGAATTATTAACACATACTTTCACATAAACAAGTTTACTGGCATGTAAACTTGGATGGCAGCAGTTTCAAACATATACTGTAGTTACATTCTATCACAGTGAAGTGGATGCAAGCCCATTGAAACTAATGGACCTTAAGCAGACATAATTTTGTGTTAGACTGCAGTCTTCATTTCCTGCAATAACTTTTCATTTGCCTTGCTTACTTGTCTGTGAGCCGGCTTGTGCTTAATAACATTTTTGTTCTCAACAGCAACAACAGAGCAGTGAAAAGACTCTTCTGAACTGTGTTGCTGGGGTCTCAGGTGGCTCATTTTGAAGGCCTTCACATCTTTAAGGCTACACTCAACTTTATCCTTTCCATGTATGAACAGAACCTATCGTTGCTGCTACTATAAGATAATCAATGTGACAGGTCAGCTTGCTGTTGTTCGTCTTGTATTCCCTGGTAAAGTTAAGCAGCTGCATTGTCGATCACAAATTGTCATTTGAAGAATAAAATAAAATCACATGCCACCTGAACTTTCATCGGTACTTTCCTTTCCTTTTCAGGCATTCGTTCTCTAGGGGAGAATCTTGACAGGTGATTGAGCACCGAAGCACACATGCTAAGCTGGCTGGCAAGGATAATAATTTCCCTCTTGGTAGAATAAACCACTCGAACAACAGGATGTGTTTATCTGATGATGGCAAACAGATAGGAAAAATGATGTTCAGGACAACACTTGTACCTTCAGAATCTCTTGGTTGACTAATTGGTACGTGTTCTCCAGCACAGGTTGCATTGCATGTTTGCCTGTCAAAGACCTGCTTGAGCCTACCTGAGAATGACAGTCTTATATCTGCCTTGACAACATCTATTAATTCATAAATTAGGATTGACTAGCTGCTCCTCTGAAAACCTCATTGCTAATGAATGCGATCAAATTGGTTTAAGCAGCTGCTGGGTTTCATCTGCTCACCTTCTCTTTATTTGTTGATTCCCACTCCCCCCCTTTTTTTTTACATATGGGAAGCCACATCATCAAATGAATTTGGACCAAGGTGCAAGCTGAGCTCCGCAGCTAAATGAGTTCTGCAGGCTGAGGCTTCTGAGTGAAGTGGCAGTGAGGAACAGCCACAGCCTTGCTTTATTAATATCGGAACAGAGTTGCTGATTGAATGGAGTAATTGAGACAAGGCAGCAGAGTGTGGAAGGAGAAGAGAAACTAGCATGTCATTAGATGCATGTGGCAATTAAGTAGTCACAATAGTCCTGGCTAACAACCATGTTTCCCTGATGCCCTCTCGCACGGCACCGTAATCCACAGGAGCCAGGCATAGTTTCCCTCACCTTTCTCCAAAACTTCACGGTTGAGGCACTTCCGCAAATTGCACATCAGCAACAGCAACATGGGATTGTTGATGGAGTATTACAGATAAATATACCTGAGCAAGCCATGTATTTCCAAACATGTCTCATTCACATGTTATGGGCTGGACGTAGAGTTTCACAGAGTGGACTTCTGTGAGCTGAATGCTTGTGGGGGCAGAAAGTGGAGAAGTGGATCCCACCGATTCTCCCTCTTGTTGCAGACCACTTTGGCCCCCAAAATCTGGTCTTGAGAATTGGAGAACCATTTGGAACTCAGTTGGGGGACTGGAAGCTGCAGAGGAGACGGGGTATTGGTGGAAATCAGACCCTCTCTTTCACCCACAGGAACATCCAGTTCATGGAGGGGAACCTCTCCTGGATCTGATCTCTTTTGCAAATGGAACAGCAGTTCTGGCTTGAATCCATCTTTTTAACATATGCATCATGTAAAATAGGGACGCGGGTGGCGCTGTGGGTTAAACCACAGAGCCTAGGGCTTGCCGATCAGAAGGTCGGTGGTTCAAATCCCCGTGACAGGGTGAGCTCCCATTGCTCGGTCTTTGCTCCTGTCAACCTAGCAGTTTGAAAGCACGTCAAAGTGCAAATAGATAAATAGGTACCGCTCCAGCGGGAAGGTAAATGGCATTTCCATATGCTGCTCTGGTTCGCCAGAAGCAGCTTAGTCATGCTGGCCACATGACCCGGAAGCTGTATGCTGGCTCCCTTGGCCAATAAAGCAAGATGAGCGCCGCAACCCCAGAGTCGGTCACGACTGGACCTAATGGTCAGGGGTCCCTTTACCTTTACCTTTACCTTTATCATGTAAAATAGGAAATGTGTAAATTACATTATATAGCAAATGTCCAATGTGTGTGTAGCCCCCAAGGAGCTAAGAAATATATTATAATGAGAAGAATTTGAATCTTTCAATAGTTAGAAAAAATAAAATATGAAGAAGGAATGGGAAAATTTAGGGAGCCATGGAAGATGGATGGGAAGTCGATGGAACAGAATTGATGTAATGTATCTACAGTATCTTTTTTTTCTCTTCCCCTTCCTTTTCTTTCACTTATTTCTTTTTTATTCTTCAGGGCCTGTATTTTGTACTCTTATAAATAAAAAAATTTAAAAGAAGAAGCTAAGAAATATAGCAGGTCAGTTTACATGACACATAGGAGTCTGTGGGCTTATTCCTGAGTGCTGCATTCCATTTTGTGGGAAACAAGACTAGAGCATTTGGATTTTTGTAATAAAAAAAATAATTAAAAACGAAACAAACCCTCACAGGCTTTTGTCATGAAATATTGGGTATTTTGGCAATTTCTGTGGGAAAGTGGATTGGCTGGAGAAATCACTTGACCAGCCTTATTTCTGATCTGCCTTGTATTTCATGAAATGTCATTGCATAGATGACTATCTCTGCTCTGCAATGCCAGAGGGTGTTTCTTTTAAGAATCTTCTGCTTAGACAGACAGAATGCGGGAGCTTAACCTCATTTAAGGGAGCTGCTGTGCAAAGCCAACGTTCTCAGCCGCCATTCTGGATGCCTGCCACTCATCTGAATGATGATCCACTTCTGACCCTGCCTCAGGACTCTGCTAATATCAAGACAGCCACCTTGTGAATGTGAGAGGTGACAGGGCTATTCGCACATTTTTTCTCCTATACCAAGTCACTCAGGAAAGTGATCTAAGGTCAGCCAGATTTAACGCTAGAAATGGAAGAGGCCTCAACGTTCCTGGCATTCCATCATTTGATACGTTAAAAATGGGTGTGATTGGAGTGCCATACCAATTATTTATTTGAAAGAGCATTTGGTCAGGTGCATCCCCGTCTGCTATCTGAAATGGTAATGTTTTCTGCCTTGGTGAGGACTAGATTCTTGTTTTGATGCTGACTAGATTCTTGTTTGTTTGCTGATTCTTGTTTTGATGCGGCCCCTTCCCAGACGTCTTCATTGTGCAGAGTACAGAGTACAATGTACATGAGTTACAGCAGGGTTCAGCTTTCAAGATGTGGAAGGTTGTGATGCTATGGAGGGACCAGGGAGACTTCCCCTGCTTTCCCCATCAGAAGAGAATGGCAGGGGTGGGGGAAGAATGCTTGAATAGGGATATTGTACCCTGATTTCATTAGTTCCTTATGAACATATAAAAAGGAAGAGCCTGCAGGATCAGGCCAATAGCCCATTTAGTTCAGCATCCTGTTCTCCCAGTGGCCAACCAGATGCCTGGGAGAAACCTGAGAGCAGGACTCAAGCACAAAAGTGTTCTCCCCTCCTGAGGTTTTCAGCAAGTGGTAATATCAGAGCAAGGAAGGCCACGTGACAATATTGTGCCCAATCTGGGCCTGGTTGCTAAACCAGTTTCGGGCTGGAGCAGAAATCTGCCTCTGCGCACTCCACTTTGGATGCCTTGAGCAGCAGGGCTGCAGGTTCAGTGATGGCCCCTCACTCTGTAGAGCACAGCTGGGCTAGAGAAGAAGAAGAGAAGAGTTTGGATCTGATATCCTGCTTTATCACTACCCGAAGGAGTCTCAAAGCGGCTAACAATCTCCTTTCCCTTCCTCCCCCACAACAAACACTCTGTGAGGTGAGTGGGGCTGAGAGACTTCAAAGAAGTGTGACTAGCCCAAGGTCACCCAGCAGCTGCATGCGGAGGAGCGGAGACGCGAACCCGGTTCACCAGATTACTAGTCCACCGCTCTTAACTACTACACCACACTGGAAGGGGAGAAGGTAGGAGTGCTCCCCAAAATACACATTTATATGCTCATGCATTATCCCTTACAGGACGCAGGTGGCACTGTGGGTTAAACCACAGAGCCTAGGACTTGCCGATCAGAAGGTCGGCGGTTTGAATCCCCGCGACGGGGGGAGCTCCTGTTGCTCGGTCCCTGCTCCTGCCAACCTAGCAGTTTGAAAGCACATCAAAGTGCAAGTAGATAAATAGGTACTGCTCTGGCGGGAAGGTAAACGGCATTTCTGTGTGCTGCTTTGGTTCGCCAGAAGTGGCTTAGTCATGCTGGCCACATGACCGGCTGTACGCCGGCTCCCTCGGCCAATAAAGTGAGATGAGCGCCGCAACCCCAGAGTCAGTCACGACTGGACCTAATGGTCAGGGGTCCCTTTACCTTTATTATGCCTTACAATACTATTTTATACACCCACCCATCTACCTCAGCATTAGAGTTTAGACACAGAATACAAACCTCCTTTAAAAATATATATTCCTGGCACATCCAACTTCCAAGAGACAGTGATCTACTACCACTATAAATAAACTGGCTGTGATCTCCCCATTGGACTGACCAGAGTTGTTGAACTTTGGGGGGGGAGGATGAGCCAAAGTTGTTGACCGCGGGGTTGGACATCCCTGATATATTCTAAATCTTCCTAATTTTTGCTGCTGCCTTCTCTTTGTTTTTGTTATTTGTTATGCTTTTAGATTTCAGTTGAATGTTCATTGCTCTGTTTTCTGTAGAAAGGCAATTAACACATTTGATAAATGAATAAACAAATAACTAAATAACGCAGCAATATCCATTATTCACTTAAGTTTTCAGTTCTGTTGGTTCTTTTGCTTCATAAAAATGATTGTGTGGGTTTAGAAGCCAAACACCATGAAGAAAATTGGGTGAAGGACACATCATCATAACAATTTCATAATAATTTATTATTTATAGCCCGCCCATCTGGGTGAGCCATAGGAAGCTGCCTTCTACCACTGGTCCATCTAGCTCAATATTGTCTACACTGACTGGCAGAAGCTCTCCCAGCCTTACATGAAGATGATGGGGATCAAAACCTGAGACGTTCTGCACACCAGGCAGATGCTTTACTCCTGAGCTATGGCCCTCCCCCTAGGTTATGTAAAGACAAATGATATAGTGACAGAATTGTGTATGAGGAAGTAAAGTGTGGCTTGTGCAAACAACCAGAAACCATGTAACAAATGTTCTGTAATGACATGGGATAATCCACTGAAGATAATTCAGATATTTGCTGGAAATGAGCAGGAATCACATTAGAGGTACCAAAGGGTTCTTCAGAAGTACCAAAAGCAATTTTAGCTAAGATACAGCATTAATTTATTATTACTGTCAATGCAATCATTTCTTAATTTCTGAAAATCAATTTTCCTTTTTGTCCATTTCAGCTGTTTACC